CCTTTGTTAGGTAGCAGAACCCTTATTTATCTTTGAAAAATGCAATTATATCTCCAAAGGGAAGTGATTGCTATCTGTTACTCCAAATGACTGCAGAATTAAAAACTGTGATGGGAAATTTGGATCATCAGTGGAGAAGGATAGAGCTGGATAGGTGCTGGACCAAGAGTCAGGAGCCTGGAGTTATTTATTAATCGAGTCTTAAGAATGTTGTCCTTAGGCTCTGATCCAGCAGGTTAATCACGTGCTTCAGATAAGAGTAAAACTACCATTGCTCTGAAGGTCCCACTTCAGGACTGTGTCAAGATTCTTACACTAGTACCTGTCTTTATCAAGAATCACACTGCTTGGATGACCTCATTTCCATCTGCCCACCACCTGCCATTATGTCCACCTACTCTCTCTAGTACACCAGGAACGATTGCTAAAATCATCAGATCACTCTGTCTGTTTTGTTTTCCCCACACCTTCCACCCCCACTTCTCTCTTGCTCTTGCTAGATCTTGTGTCCATCCCCATAACCACTCCCTTGCCTATAGCTCAGTGCCTTTGCCTCTCTCTTGCTTTATTGTATTTGCCTGGAAAATCCCTAATCCTGGTTAAATCTTTCTCACCATCTTCTCCCCACCTATACTTGGAGTGATCAGAAAATAAAAGCATTCAGCCACCCAAATGGACTCCTTTACCCCAAAGAGACTTGATGCATACCCACAAACCTATTACACAGCTAGGCCCATACTCTCCCTCTGCTCCGGAATGAATTCACACTTTCTCTTCTCTTCTCCAGCCTCAGTACCCCCTTCCCACTTCTCCCTCCCAGCTGAGGACTTTGTTTGCTACTGCTCTGGAAAAAAAAAAAATCAGAGGGCATCAGAGGAAATCGCCCTGAGGGTCCCAAGACAGACCTGTATTTTCTCTGTACAGGCCATCTTCCTCCAGTGATTCAGAGGGACTGTGCTGCTCCTTTCCAAGGCCAAACCTCTGTATCCAACCCCACCCTCTCCACTGCTTCCTCAGGGACTTCACCCTTGCTTCTCCCTTCCTTCTTCATCATCAAGTTCCTGTCTCTCCTGGGTTATTCTGATCAGCACATGCATGATGTAGCAGCTCCGTGTTCTGCTACTCCCAGTGTCTTCCTTCTCTTTGTCTGTCTGTCTTCCCTTTTTATAGCAGAGTTTCCTGGAAAAGAGGGCTCTGCTTGCAAATTCATGCACATCTCTATCAGGCATCGATTTTCAACACACTGGAGAAACTGCTCTTGTCAAGGATACTGGGGATTTCACTTGGCCAATTTCAAAGGTTGATTTGCAGTCGATACCTTAGTTGACCTATTCGTAGCACTTAACTGTGCTAACCAAGTCCTTGTCCTTGTAATGGCTTTCTTTGCTGGCCAGGTTCCTTCTGTTACCACACTGGCCACTCCTTCAAGCTCACTTCCTGCTTCTCTTCCCCTCTCTGACCTCTACTCCTGGTATATTCCTGAGCTCTTCTTTCACCTTGAGGAATCTCACTCAAACATCTGACTAAAGCAAATCATCCACCTGTTGTAAGTTCCTTGAGAACCCAGGCTAGTTCATGTGCCCAAAGCCTTGGTCCTGGCTCCCTTCGCTATATTCCCTACCGCTGTGTTCCTGCACTAGTAAATGGCAGCTCCAATCTCCCAGTTACTTGGGACAAAATTCTTCCTCTCTCTCTTTCTCAGATCCCACATCCAGTCAACAAATTTTGTTAGCTTCCTCTTCAAAATATATCTGTAATCTGAATACTTCTCCTCCTGACTTCCCCGAGGCTGTATCTCCTCTCCCCTACAAGCTTACAGCAACAGCCTAGCTGGCCTCTCTCCTCGCTTTCATCCTGGCCTCCTCAGACCGAATAGCAAAGCCTTGAGCCCCACAGAAGGGGGGCAGGACTGATGAACCTCAGAAGACCATCTACATCTATCACCTAGTCACCTTCCTGCATTCCATCCAGCAGCATCCTTGCTGCTGTCTGAATCAGCCAGACATGACTCTCATGTATCCGGCCTGTTCTCTCTTCCTGAAATATTGACATAGCCTTCCTCTCCCTTCCCACACCTCCTCCACCCCTTTCTCCCTCTCTTCTTCAATAAGTCCCCTCTTTTTCTGGCCATCTACAATAACAGCCTCCTCTAATGCACACATGAAATGAATTTATTTGGTTCCTAACATTTGCCATTATCTGAAATAGTCTTATTTTTTGTGTAGTGCCTGTTTTCCCTGCCAGAATGAAAGTGTAAAGGCAGCATAAACTGTTTCCAGCAGCTTACACAGAGCCTACTACACAGTTGCCAGTGCTGCCGGGAAGGTTGTAAAGGTTGGTCAGTGCACCAGAGCTGCTGAAACTCCAGCGGATGTTTTGCTTTCCAGCTTACTCTCTGCTCTCTGTGCTGTGGGATCATCCAGCAGGTTGTTACCTGTTGTTTTGTGTTCTATGGGCTGGTTGTGGCACTATGGGGGGCCATTCGATGAGTGTTCTTTGCATAAAGGCTAGACTAATGATGGATGATCGATAGATGAATGGAGATTTCGCTTTATTTTCTTCTTGAGGATTTCATGACAGTTTACCTTCTCATGGACTCACCTTTTTCATCTGTTGAGAGGATAAACAGTATCTATCTTATGGATTATGAATGTAGTAATGCTACCGAATCATTTGTTTGCAAATGACTAAAAAGGTGGATATTATGTTATATAAATTAAGATTATGCTATATGAATAACTCTAATAAATATTAAGTGCTGGGACATAGTAGGTGTTCAATGGATGTTGGTCATTCAATGATGTTGGTATGACTTCCTTGTTTCAAAAATAAAGCCAGGCGCTGGTGGCTCACACCTATAACCTTAGCTACTCAGGAGGCTGTGATCTGAGGATCGCAGTTCAAGCCAGCCCAGGCAGGAAAGTCTGTGAGACTCTTATCTCCAATTAACCACCAGAAACATGGAAGTGGAGTTGTGCCCCAAAGTGGTAGAGCATAAAAGCTTAGGGACAGTGCCCAGGCCCAGAGTTTAAGCCCCAAGATCGACATAAATAAAAGATAAATAAAATAAAATTCTCTTTCCTTGGCATACATTATTCCATTTAGGGTTAATGATCACTTTCTTTTCCTTCACTCATTTCAGCATTCATTTTTGCCAATGTAGATAGATATTGGGGATATGATGAGAACATAACCAATGCAGAATATCCCCCACAACTGTAGGGGATACAAAAAGAACAACACAATGCAGTATGGTCAGGGCTATGGAGGAGAAGGACTGAGGGGTGTGGGGTGCAGGACCAGACAAAGTGGAGAGGGTTTTCACTCAGATGAGGCAGCATCAAGGAAGACTGGTCTAGACAATAAGGTTCCTGAAACCAGATAACTTGAGGGGATGGGAGGGGTTGGGGTAGATGGGGAAAGGGAGAAGAATGGAAGAGGTGACAACAATCAAGATGCATTGTACTCATAAACTGACATGTTGAATTGCAACCCCTTTGTACAACTATTAAAACATTACAGGTGCTAGCCAGAAAAGGACCGGTCCTGGGACAAGCTGCTGTACCCCCAGCAACAGGTCAGGTAACACTTGGGAGAAAAAAGGTCAGTGGGCTCTAAAAAGCTAGAGTTCATGGTAATGAAAATCTAAGAAAGAAAAGCCTAGGCTTTTTACATTGACCCCTTTGTTAGCATACATGAGGGGCAGATAACACCAAAGAGCAGGAGGTAGATCTGTATTAATTAGGACTGTCACTTAAGGTTTTTACACACATTTAAGAAGGTAAAATAAACCTTTTTTTATTTTTCATGCCAGGACTGGGGCTTGAACTCAAGGCTTCATGCTGTCCCTAAGCTTTTTCACTCAAGGCTGGCACTCTACCACTTGAACCACTTCTCCACTTCTGGCCCTTTGCTGGTGAGTTGGAACTAAGACTGTTTTGGATTTGTCTGCCTAGGCTGGCTTTGAACTGAGATCCTCCTATCTCAATCTTCTGAGTAGCTTGAACTATAAGCCTGAGCCACCAGTGCTGGGTTTTTGCTGCTGTTGCTGCTGCTTCTTGTTTCAGACTTTTCATTTGGTAATTTGTAACTTGTGGCTGGTGAACTTTTTCCATTCCTCTGTACTGAAACAGAATATTTCAGATGGTTTTCCTTATCACTGCTGTGTACCACCTCTGGGCAGCCCTTGCTTCAGCAATGCCCTCAGTCCCTGTGGATGCGGGCATGTCCTTGTCTTAGCTACCTTGATTGCCTTGGCGTAGGCAATCTTTCTTCCTTGAGATGCCTATCGAGCCTGCTCTGCCTCAGGCTCTGTACTGGGTACTGGGAACCCAGAGATGACTCAGAAGGGTCTCTTATTCTGAGTGAGCTCTCAGGCCACTGGGGAAGGCAGCACAGAGAGGATTAGTATCAGGTACTGAGAAAAATGCTGCAAGGCATCCACAGGGTACCCAGCACTTAAAACAGGTAGGGCTTGCCAGGGTAAAGAGTTCAGAGAAGGTGACTTCTTTTTCTTCTTCTTCCCCTCCTCCTCCTCTTCCTTTTTCATTATATTTAAGTCGTTGTACAAAAAGGTTTCAATGAAACAAATCAGTTTATAGGTACAGTGTGTCTTGATCAATGTCACCTGAGAAGGTGACTCTTGCTCTGTATCTTGAAGGACAGACAAGTGACGCCGGGCCCAGGGATGAAGAGCCAGGTGAAAGGTAGGCAAGCTCTTGGGAGAGGTTCAGAGCCTTCTGGCAGGGGCCCAGGAAGCTTGAAAACCCAGGGATTCATACACACACCTGTTCATGGGGAATACTGGAGTGTCCGTGGGCTTCCGGCTTTGCCTGGGAAGAATGCCCTCTCCTTCCCCTGCGGTTCCGGTCCACCGCCCGCCGCGGCCTGCAAAACTCTCCCTCCAACTGCGAACTTTGTACCCTCAGTCACCGGAAATGCACTTGTTTATCAGGGCAGCCAGCCTGAGCCGCTGCCGGCTAGGCCCCTTCTAGGTCCCCTCTGCACCCCAGATGTACCAACTGTCCAGCCCCGTGGGCAGGGTGCGCCTTCACCCATAAAGAGCTGGGAAGATGTAGTAAGAGTCCTCCCTTCCCGAGGCGCTGCCCGCCTCCCGGATGCGCAGCCTCCCCGCACCTGCACTTCCGCCCCGCCCACTGCGTCCGCAGGTGAGTCAGCCCGCGGCAGCCCGCCCACCTGTCCACGTTCTGCCCGCCCAGCCGGAAGCCGCCTCCACCGACTGTGCACAGTTCCTGAAGGTGGGGAGCAGGGGTGGGGGGAGACGTTGGGAGGGGGCGTGGGAGAGCCCCAGGGATCCCCAAAGGCTGCTGGAAATAGCAGAAGAAAAAAAAACACTACAGATCTGCGTGGGCCAGGATCTGTAGGTGTGTGTGTGTGTGTGTGTGTGTGTGTGTGTGTGTGTGTGTGTGTGTGTGTGTAGAGGGTATGGGCACAGGCCAGTATGGGCTGTGAGTTCAGTCGTTTGGGGAATGTATCTAATGTGTGTATATATGGCAATCTTTTGGAAGAATTTACAGGGAGAAAAGGAATAGCTGTACACTAAAAAAGAAATTCTAATTGGATTTGGTTCCTTTCAAGGTAATGAACTCTCATGCTTAGTGCTTTGCAAATGGATGAATGACCAATGTGTCTCTCCTTTGTAAAGCATTTCCTCCCATATTCATTCACTCTCCCCTTTCCTCCATTAATTTCACTCACCTGTGCTGAGTGGCAGAGGCCCAGCTCCGCCTGCAGCACTGACCACACATCAGTCAGCCTGGTCCTGGCTCTCAGGAAACTGACAGTGGCCCATTTTGACTGGTAGCTGATGGGTAGAACAAGCAGAGGTCACCCAGGGGAATCCTTGGGCAACCACATGATTAGGATGGTTTGTTTTGGTCCTGAGAGATGAAGACGCAAAAACCTGAGGCGAGGAGTAGTCTCCTGGAGAGCAAGTTGGGGCTGGAGAGGAAGAGAAAGAAAGAGAAATAAGTGGGAGTGTGGAGCCTTTGGAATCTAGGAATCTAGGAAGAAGTTTGGCCTGAGGGCTCCATGATGGATTACAAGGCTTCAAGATAGGGTAGGAACCAAAAAAAAAACAAAAAAAAACAAAAAAAAAAACGCATTGCTGAGGGCCATGGAGAGGTTCTGGAAAGATTTTTTTCTTTTTTTAAAGCATGTGTTAGGGTCAGAGTTGCTCTGGGGAATGGACTAGAGGTCAGGAAAGACCAGTTAGGAGATAGTGGCTTGAGGGAAAAGGGGATGGTGGCTTGTGGGTGGGGGAGGGGTGGATAGCTGGAAGTATTTTCCATAGTTGGAGGCAGGAGAGCTGGTTGAGTGTGGGGAACAAGGGTGTCACTCTGAATCTCTATTAAAGCATATGATAGCCTGGGTACTCACGACACTGGGTGCTTCTCTGTAGGTGCTTCCCTAGCTTGGCTGCTCTGCTGCATGGATCCCTAAGTACAGCCCAGCCCTAGCTGTCCCTTCTCTGGTACATTGAGGTGTGTCTCTCCCATACCTTTGACTCAGGTGCCATTCTTCCTGGGGTGCCCTTCTCTAGCTAGTCACCTGACTCAGGTGCTTCCCTCCAGGGTGCCCAGCCTAGGTGATCCTCAGCCCCATCATTTCCTGCTTAAGGCAGTCCTGGCTGGGATAATCTCTGGTATAAACTTTCCCTCTATGGTGCAGCGTAGGCCTCCTGTGGTTTAAGTATTGAAGGCGCTGCTGCAAGGGCTGAGGGTAGAGGTGTGTGGCAGTGCCCTTGCCCCTCTGGGCTGCTCTGGCTGTATCTAAGATCTCTGTCCTCGGAGGGACTTGTATCCTTCTCCTCAGTGTCCCCCAAAATTGTTGTCTAATCTTGGGAGCCAGGATCTGCCTCTGCCAGATCTCCCATTAACAGGCAGCATGGCAGATTGGCCTGGGTTCAAGTTTGAGTGCTTTGGTTGGGTCTGTTCACCTTTCTGGCCTTGGTGTCCTCATCTATAAGGTGGGGTAGTGTTTATACCCACAATGTGTGTGTGTGTGTGTGTGTGTGTGTGTTACATGATGTCTGAGCCTTCAGGAATTGTCATTAAGAGCATCAGAATGTATTTGTTTTAGAAGTTTCTAGAACTAAGCCCAGCAACCATCCCTTAGAAAGGCAGAGCCAGTTTCTGTGCACTCAGCTTTTTCTTTTCTCTGGACAAATGGGCAGTGGTCCAGCCATCAGCATCTGTGTAGTGCCAGATGTGGCTGTGAGTATGGCCTGAATTGTGGACCCTCTGGCTGTCCCTGACCCCTATGCCTCTGTGTATTTTCTAGGACTTGTGCCCTACACCTGCCTGGCATCTGGGGTCTCTCTGGAGCCTGGGCTGGTAGAAGCCAAAGTTCCCTGATGTCATCAGGCCACTCCATGAGTGAGGCAAACCAAAGTGAGTAGCAGCGTGGGTGGCTAATGAGAGGATGAGTCCCCTTAGCTGGTGGGATTGGGAAAAGGGTTTTGCCTGCATTTTGATTAGTTTTTCCTGGCAGCATCAGCTGGGGACTATAATGCTGTCCTTTTCTCCGCAGCCCAGGAGGGGCCATCAGTGCTCCCCACAGCATCAGCTACGACCCCTGAGCCCAGCAGCGGGGGCCGGGCATGGCCAGTACTAGTAGGGGTTGTGCTAGGGGCCGTATTCCTCTCTCTCCTCATCGCACTTGCTGCCAAATGCCATGTCTGCCGCCGATACCGTGCCAGCTACCAGCATCGTCCTCTGCCCAGGACTAGGGGTGGAGACCGTCCAGTGGTGGGTGAAGATGAGGATGATGATGGCTTCATTGAAGACAATTATATCCAACCTGGGGCTGGTGAACTGGAGACAGAAGGAAGCAGGGACCACTTCTCTCTCTGATCTTTGATCTTCGGACATTGCCCCTTCCTTCCACCTCTGATGTTTTAAGGACAGTGGATGCTATGTGGGCATCTCAGCTCTCAGGGACAAAGGTAGCTAGGGCCTAAAGGTTAACCAGGGGCAGAGCAATCCTCCATTTCCTGTCACTGTCCAACGAAGTGACAATGACCTGCTCTTGCTCAATAACTCTCGGCGGCTTCCTGCTTTTCCTAGGATAAAGCCTAACAGCAGAAGAATATGGAGGAAAAGCCTCTATGATCAGGCCTCGATTGGCCTGTTGTTCTCCTTTTGTGCCTCCTCACTACACTCCCTACTTAACTGTGTATTTGCCATGTAGTTGTTTACCTTGTTCCCCCTGCCTGGGGAGCCCTACCCTTCTAATGTCAGTCCCTGGCCTCCTGACCCCTGGGCCCCTGGGCCTGCCTTTCAAATGTATTTCACATGTGCCTGGAGGACACATTCAAGCGGGTAGAAACCAGTGCCAAGTTTCTTACTGAAAATTTTCTTATCAATGAAGTAGATAATCTGGTTATATATAGTATAATGTTTTATAGAGGAATAAATTGATTTTCATTTTTAATTAAAAACAAGAAATCACCATATGCATTTTTCCTACACCAGATTTTATCATTCAGCTGAAAGACTTTCCCTAGACATCCTCTCCTACATTACCTTCTCCCTCGGTCACACCCTATCAGTTTCTCCATATTGCCCTGGCCACATCTTAGTTTATGACCACTGGGACCTGCCCCTCCCCAGGCCTGTTCCTACAGATAAACTTTGAGCTCTCTAAGGCCCCAAGTTTTATATACCAAGACTGACAAGATGGATGCTAACTATAGTCAACCCTTCCTACAGTCAGTCTTCCATGGGTTCTGCACCCATGTGTTCAACCAACATAGGTCAGAAATATTTGGGGAAACATTCAAAGAGTAAAACTTGTATTTGCCATGTGCCCAAACTATGCTGAATCCATGCAAATGAAATTACATGTGGGTACTGCTACAGACATTACAAGTAATCTAGAGATGGTTTAAAGTATAAGAGAGTATTTGTGCAGGTTATATATAAATAATGTACTATTTTATATAGGGAACTTGAACATTTGTGGATTTTGGTGACTGTGCACTTAAGGAAAAGATGAAGGTGAGGAAGTAGAAGATATCTCGAAAACTTTACCAAGAATAATCTTCTTCTTCTTCTTCTCCTCCTCCTCCTCCTCCTCCTCCTCCTCCTCCTCCTCCTCCTTTTTCCTTTGTTGGTCATGAGGCTTGAACACTCTAGGCCTGAGCACTGTCCCTGAGCCCTTCAGCTCTACTACTTGCACTCTACCACTTGAGCCACAGCACCACTTCCAGTTTTCTGGTGGTTAATTGTAGATAAGAGTCTCATGGACTTTCCTGCCTGGGCTGGCTTGAACCCTGATCCTCAGGTCTCAGCCTCCTGAGTAGCCAGGATTACAGCTGTGAGCTACCAGTGCCCAATTTTTTTTTACCAAGATTCTTGATGAAGAAGAAGGGAAGGACAGAGTCACAGTTGCTGGAGGGAGACTGAGCAACGGGGCAAAATGTTTTTTGTGTGTGTCAGTCAGGGGCTTGAACTCAGAGCCTGGGCACTGTCCTGAGCTTTTGTGCTCAAGGTTACCACTTTCAGCCACAGATCTACTTCTGGTTTTCTGGTGGTTAATTAGAGATATGATTCTCATGGACTTTCCTGTCTGGGGTGCCTTTGAACTGCAATCCTCAGATCTCAGCCTCCTGAGAAGCTAGGATTACAGGCATGGGCCACTGGTGCTCGGCTTTTGGTGGGTGGTGGGGGGTAGGAGGGAGGATCTTAAGATGGAGACTTGAGTTTAATTTCAAAGAATTTTAGGAGGGGAATCCTGGCTGTTACACACAATCAAAGGGGCAGCGCTCCTGGAAGGCAGAAGTAGATCTCTGTGGCTGAAGGTTAGGCTTTGTACCCCTAGAACCTTATTGCTTAGGGGTTCTCCATGTGACTTTCTTTCTTTTCTTTTTTTTTTTTTTGGGTCCGGTCATGGGGCCTGAACTCTGGGCCTGGGCGCTGTCCCTCAGCTCTTCAGCTCAAGGCTAGCTCTCTACCACTTGAGCCACAATGCCACTTCCAGCTTTTTTTCTTTTTGCTTATGTGGTGCTGAGGAATCGAACCCAGGGCCTCAGGCATGCAAGGCAAGCGCTCTACCACTGAGCCACCTTCCCAGCCCCTCCATGTGACTTTCTATGTGTAGGACTCCCAAGTCCTGGATTTCAAGTTTAAGCACTCAGGTAAGAGACTGTTTGGTCAAATATGGGTCAAGTATTCACCAAAGGGTCCAATCAACTAAGGCCAGGGCCTTAGAATATATGGAATACATAGAATACATTGGAAATTTCACCTTTCATTCCACATCATTCTCAGATAAGAAGTAGAAATCCTCAGGAGCTGGGTAGCTGCCCTCACATTCTTCCTTGGGATGCAGTATCAGCCTTTGAGGGAAGAGCTGGCAGAGAAGGAAATCAAGAGAGTGACTGATGCAGAAAAGGCTTAAGAAAGAGAAGTTTGGGAGGATTGGAGTGCAGGGTCTGAGGAGGCCTTAGGACCTTACAAACAGGTGCAGAGCTCACACTCCACCCTGAGAGTAACTGTGGACTTACATTTTTTGTTACAACAGAGATAAAATCATGATAGAAAAATCATTATGGTCACTGTGCAGAAATGAACCAAAGGTAGCAAGATCTGACTAAGGCAGAGTACAAAGAATAGAGACTCCACAGAAAGGAGGCAGGATGGACAGAACTTGACTTTGGATTTGGGGAGCTGGGAAGGCATTACACAACTGCTTTGGTTTTTAGATCCTCAGCTGGGTGCAGTGAGAAGAGCAAGTTGAGGGGATGGTACTGGATGCAGGATTTTTGAGGGGGAGATGCCCAGAGTTCATAGAGGAGGAGGACACGTATTTGGAGATGCTTGGCAACATGGTCACTGAACACAGGAGTGGATGAGATTCCCGGGGAGGGGCTAAGAGCAGGTACTTAGGATGGAATAAGGACCTCATCTCAGGGTTTGTCATCAGATGAATCAACCAACCATGGGTTATTAATATTTGGGAGGCTACACTTGGAGGTATAACCCTATAATCCCAGCTACTTGGGAGGCAGATGTCAGAGGATTACAGTTTGAGGTTGACCCTGGACAAAAGCACAAGGCTGTGGCTCAAGGCTCCCACTTTCAGCCACAGTTCTACTTCCATTTTCTGGTGGTTAATTAGAGATATGAGTCTTCCAGACTTTCCTGCCTGGAGTGGCTTTGAACCACAATCCTTAGAACTCAGCCTCCTGAGTAGCTAGTATTATAGGCATGAGCTACTTGTGCCTGGTTTTGTGGGGGGGAGGGGAAATCTTAAGATAGAGACTTGAGTTTAATTTCAAAGAATTTTAGGAGGGGAATCCTGGCTGTTGCACAGAATCAAAGGGGCAGCCCTCCTGGAAGGCAGGAAGCAGATCTCTGGCTGAAGGTCAAGTTTTGTACCCTTAGAACTCAAGTGGTGGAGTGCTTGCCTTGCAAGCATAAGGACCTGGGTTTGAACCCCAGTACCATTAAAAAAAACCCCCAAACCACCTTTTTCTTATTCAAAAATTCCAGAAAAGTCTGAAGAATAAAGCTTGCATTTGTCATGAGCCAAGTACTATGCTAAATCTATGTGAATGGAATGATGAGTAGGCACTGTATCAGGCATTATAAGTGAGGGATGGTTTAAAGAAGGTTGGAGTATGTGTGTAGGCTGTATGCAAATGCCATGTCATTTTATATATGAAGGTTTGGATGTCTGTGATCTCATTCTCTGTCATATTGAATTTCAAAGGACAGGTGTATTTAGGGAATGACTGAGTACCTCCAGACTTCTGTAATGGGTCAAACACTAGCTGCACCTTGCCTGCTTTACCCAGCAATACTGCTAATGTCTAACCTCAACACAGGGAAAAAACTAACTCAGGGCAGGAAGTCCTGCCCCCATGCTGATGTCATCACCACACACGCCAGGCCACTGAGGGGCAGGGGGTCAAAGGGAGGCTTGAGGGGAGCAGGCCACCAGATATAGGGAGGAGGGAGGAGATCTAGGCCGGAAGAGAGGCCTGGGTGGAGGGGGCCACACAGGGCTGAGAGGCCTGCGCAGAGTGGAGAGGCCTGTGGAGATCGGGGAGGTGAAGACATCTGTGGAGAGTGGAGAGGCCTGTGGAGATCGGAGAGGTGAAGAGACCTGTGCAGAGTGGAGAGGCCTGTGGAGATCAGAGAGGTGAAGAGACCTGTGGAGAGGCCTGTGGAGATCGGGGAGGTGAAGAGATCTGTGGAGAGTGGGGAGGCCTGTGGAGATCAGAGAGGTGAAGAGACCTGTGGAGAGGCCTGTGGAGATCGGGGAGGTGAAGAGATCTGTGGAGAGTGGAGAGGCCTGTGGAGATCGGAGAGGTGAAGAGACCTGCACAGAATGGAGAGGCCTGTGGAGATCAGAGAGGTGAAGAGGCCTGTGCAGAGTGGAGAGGCCTGTGGAGATCGGAGAGGTGAAGAGACCTGTGCAGAGTGGAGAGGCCTGTGGAGATCAGAGAGGTGAAGAGACCTGTGCAGAGTGGAGAGGCCTGTGGAGATCGGAGAGGTGAAGAGACCTGCACAGAATGGAGAGGCCTGTGGAGATCAGAGAGGTGAAGAGGCCTGTGGAGAGTGGAGAGGCCTGTGGAGATCGGAGAGGTGAAGAGACCTGTGCAGAGTGGAGAGGCCTGTGGAGATCGGGGAGGTGAAGAGACCTGTGCAGAGTGGAGAGGCCTGTGGAGATCGGGGAGGTGAAGAGGCCTGTGGAGAGTGGAGAGGCCTGTGGAGATCGGAGAGGTGAAGAGGCCTGTGGAGAGTGGAGAGGCCTGTGGAGATCGGGGAGGTGAAGAGATCTGTGGAGAGTGGAGAGGCCTGTAGAGAGGCCCGCAGAAATTGGAAAGAACAATAAAGAGGTGGAGAGGCCCGCTGAGAAAGGACTGCGGAGATCAGAGAGGCCTGCGAAGAGCAGAGAGCCCTGCAGAGAGTGGAGAGGCCTATGGGATGGAGAAAAAAGGAAAAAAAAAACTTGCCCCCTTGGAGGTTGCAGGTGCTCCTAGTTCTGAGGTAACCCAGGACAGTGTTGCAGACTGACTAATAAAACTCCTTTGTCAGTTTCTTTTCTTTTTTTTTGGTCGGTTGTGGGGCTTGAACTCTGGGCCTGGGCACTGTCCCTCAGCTCTTCAGCTCAAGGCGAGTGTTCTACCACTTAGGCCACAGCACCACTTCTGGTTTTCTGGTGGTTTATTGGAGATAAGAGTCTCATGGACTTTCCTGCCCAGGTTGGCTTTGAACCACAATCCTCAGATCTTAGCGTCATTAGCAGGCATGAGCCACCAGCGCCCATCTCCTTTGTCATCTTTAACTGTGCCTCCATGTATTTCCTTGCTTGCAGGTTATTACAATACAAGGAATTTCCTGAGGATTGGTCCTGTGTGGAACCTGGCAGGGGAAACTAGAAGCTAGAGAGGAGGAGAGCCTGGCTCATGTGGCCCAATTAAGCAGTCATTCCTGTGTTCCACAG